TGACTGCAGTTGACAAAGGTCAAGTGCAACGAAAAGTGCTCGTTAAGACCACACGTTTGTGGTGATAATTCTCATTGACGAGTAGAACAAAGACACAGGTCAGCTTGCGAATATCGACCGACTGAACTGGCCGTGGTATGATGGACACACGTGTGAGTGATAGTGCAAATGGCACAAAAACTGAATTGCACAACTATATATCTAGCACGCTTAAAATTGGGCGTAGATAGCTCAATTCGGATTTGTTGGATGGAGCGTAATATTTCCTTCACAATGGTATCACAATATTGACACTGCGAAGGAAAATAAGCAACTTTGCACGCGTGAGTATTAGCAAAATGTTTGCTACAAATCACGGAAAAGCACAGTGGTGTGAATGGTATGGTTTATATCCGAGAGAGAGATATCGTTAGATAGATCTCACAGAGCTGAGTCGAACGAGCGTAAACTCGACGATGTATGACCTATTATGGCGGAGTAAATCCACTTAAACCGGGAGCGCACAAATGATGCGACCGCGCCCGAGAGTCCGAAAAGTGGGATGAAGCACTCAATCACACACGTCATCTGAACAGTGATTGATTCGGTTGAATTCTCTGGCCGAAATGCAGAATATACACTGGTTCCATAATTTTTCGGACTAGACGTCCGGAAGCCAAACGTTTGATCCAATTAGAGTTGAGTTGAAGAAAATGGTTTCGTTTCAAAACGGAGTTCTAATATTTTCACGTATTGCTTCTTTTTGACTTGATGTTGCTCTCATTTACCGATTTATCTTTGATGCTAATGTCGTAGTTAGCCGCATTTGTCATCTTTTATGAGCCCCTTATTCTACTCTGTTCTTGATGAATAACTCGATGCATCTGCTTGTATAGTGAGTGATTTCAGATTATTCCGCCATAACGAAGATTCTCCTTCTATCAGAAGGGTAATAGATCTCCGGAATGAGTTTCCAGCAAAGTTGGTTATCAAGGATCATGATGCATAGTGATGTAAAGTGAATTGTTTTCTTATAGATATGGAATCTGGTGGCTCCATGGCGTACCCGGGATCTAATTCTTACATAGCCGGAAAAATTGGTATGATAAATAGATTTAGATATCTGGAGTAGTTCAATAAGAACAATGAAGGTCATTAGCAGTAATTTTACGGAAGCACTAAAAACAACTTTTCAAGCTGTTCTGTATTTTTAGATAGAAATGACATACCAGTCTGATTCTCCACCAAACACTCTTCTCCATTTCATCGTCCTATCCAAATAACTATCTAGCACCTCTCAACGTGAAGATTGGTAGCAATCAGCCACGTTACCTGGATGAAGAAGGTCTGTATGTGGGCAGACCACCATCGGTTGTCCCGGCAAATTTACGTCGGCTGGAGAATCGGATTATACAAGAGACAAAGTCAGCCTTTCTGGCATTTCCCTCAGTCGTGACAGAACAGCCCGAGGCTGGTGATACAGATGTCGATCAAATCATTGAACAAAAACAGGTTGAGAAGATTCAGGTCGGTCCGCATTTGGACTCATGTTGCGAGCACATAATCTGTTGGACTTTATTTTTCTCATTAGAATATGGGATAACTGCTGGAGACCGTTTTCGTCCAGATCGATGGGTGGGATATATTTTTGACTCTATTTGGAACAGCGTTGAAAAAAAATATGATCATTTTTGGACTTAAGGAAAGAAAGATATATCATTTGTAGTTGGTGGGGAAACTTCGTTTTGTTTCCAATTGGCTTAGATTGCTTTTATTTCAGGATAATATTATGGACTTGTTTAGTGTGATCCATGAGCGTAAGGAGCAGATTTGGTCAACAGATGTCTCCAGTCTTCAATCAGCTTGAATTTCTATCTAAAAGTAGTGGATAATTAGAAAGCTCTGTTTTGTCCTGTTCACATATTATGCGTGTTATCCAAGTGTAAATGGAATTGTTGGGCTTCACATCAAAACCATTACTATTGTGTACCTTTAAAAATAAGTGCGTTTATATGCACCAAAACAGCTGACACTGCGGATGAATTTAAATCAGTTAGTTTTCAAGTTTGTCAGAGGATTGCTCTGGAAAACTAGTCGATCGATTTGACATTTTATCTCGTGTTTATCGTGTGCTCACTTTTATTAGATGGAAAAACATTAGGCATGTGAAAAGTTGCTCATCTCGGGAACAGTTTACAATTTTTGTAGTTTGTTATCTAATTTATTTAATGGCTAGCTGCGTAATGCATCGGTCTTCTTACCGGAATTTGTTTGTTTGTAATACGTGAGGTCTTTCCATGCGTTGTCAGTTCTCTATTTTCTTCCCGAATGTTCACTTGAAAATCAATTTAATATCTCTCTCTCTTTTGGTTTGCATGTCCCTAACCGTCCTCGGTTGTGGGTTCGGCAAAAGTATCTCGCGTTCCCATTATGTTTTCACGTCGTCTTGAGCGTGGAGCTGAGGTCTAGCCATCATCTTTCCACAACTTTTCCGCACAACAAAAGGCAGCAAAAGTACTTAATTAGTGCATTCAAAATGTAATTATTCAAATCACTGACCGTTTTCAGTTCACAAACAGCTTACTGTATGCAGGAATTTGTGTTTTAAACCCTGATTTATCATTTATATAAAAATATATTTATGTATGCCACAAGCTGTCCACTGTGTGTAAGGCATTTTCAAAGCTGGATAGTTAAATCAAAAATAAAACACTTTAAAACTAGCCTAGCCATTCGCGTTTCGAGTCCCGCTGGGAACACAAGAAGTACACATAGCCGACTAATCCCAAAGGAGCTTAAACTGATGTCTAGTGCGTTTTGTCGGTCATAGCACAAAATATTCCATCGATAATGAAATGCCTTTAACAACTGACGAACTCTTACACTAAACATCATTTACGGTATCAGATTTCTGTACGAACTCCAGTAGATTCACCGGAAACTTATGATAAATAAGCAAAGGTAAAGCAGACCGTTTCAATTAACGGGATTGTTTCACTATCTTTGTCACAGTCTTAAAACCAATTTCAGATAGTAAACTTTGTGCATATTCACTTTTGGCTTTCATCCAAAATTAGTGCATAACCTATAAACATCATCCGGTTCGGTGAATGCGCACTTTTTCATCTTCAGTTGAATTTCGGTTGAGATATGAGATCAAGCACCCCATGATACCGGCACAAACCCTATGCCTCTTGATTTATTCTGTGTTCTACTGGTTAAGTTGAAAATGTTCTTTACCGTCTTCTAATTGAGTCAATGTTGCCTACTCATGATTCACTTGTTCACTCATCGATTCAGACTTGGTTTAAAGAAGACGGGAATTTCGCATTGCTACCAAATCCACTTCGAAGTGTACCGCAACGTCCTCCTGTGTGGGATGAATTATTTAATCCACTCCCGCCCGAATTCCAAGTTGATTACATACCAGTGAGTACATCAAGTAAAACAAATCTTACGTGTTAAAGTTTCTGAGTCACATTCAAATGATGGGAATAGTACATATTTGCCAGTCACCAGCTAGAATGAGCGGGCCAACTTCTTCGGTGTGATTTGTGGCTGTAGAAATTAAAAGTACATCAAACATTTCTGTCCTATTGACGAAATACTCATGAGTAGTTGAAACATGAATTTGAAATTCACACATCTGCAAAAATGTAATTTATGATCACCATCAATAATACTTTACTGTTAAAAAAGATTCACCTCACCAGCCATTTTATTCTCTACAGCCCATGACCACTGAAATGACATTTCGTTACTTGGCTCTCGAAAATGATAATGCATCTTTTGGGAAATCCATGTCTTGGAACTTTGGTCGAACAACGTTGTCTCGACGTCGAAACACAGGTGTTGGTGTGCTCAGTGGTTTACCCGAATGCCGTTTGGATGTGGAAATCAGACAAGTTGTATTTGACTTCCATCCACTCTACACGTGGGAACATGTGCACGCGCAAAATCTTCGGCAAATAGTGATGGCTTACCAAACACAGAATTCCCGTGATCAAGTAAACGCGTGCATCGAACGAGTAAGTTATTCTGCATTACGTTTCGTGCGCACTAACTGAAAAAGAATGATAATGAAATTTATCAGATAACATGAACAGTAGGATTGTACTTACTCAATCCTTAGTTAGAAGTAGAGGTTTTGATTTTAGTAGCACACGATGTCTCACGTTTCTTAAGCTATAGGGGTTCCAAACTACACAGGCTGCATCGATAACACAAATCTGTTTAAATTGGGACTGCTCAACCCATCGCTCATACCACTCACCCAGTATAAAAGCGAATATTATGACATTAATTGATATTATATGTATTGGAACGTAATAGATGTTGCGCTGCAGTCCGAGATGAGGCGAAAGCTTTAAGCTGGTCAAAGAGGAGCTCACAAGATGTCGTTGAAGGGGAGGGGTTCGGAGTGCGTACATGCGCTAAGGTCCCCTGAGGATTTCAAGTATTGTGAGGTAAACAAGACCAATCAATAAATGTGAAGGGCGACACACAGAACCTGGATTATACTATTGTACAAAGCCGATTTACACGAACTATGCAGATCGAGGTTTCTTCCCATATCGACAAAATGGATAATGGGAACATGATGCAGGCTGATTGGACTATCATACCTACCCCAGGATTAGGAATTGAATGCTTAGAGCTTTACCTGGAGCTACACCCTGGTTTTGCATACACTATGTTTTCTGTACAGACTAGTTTGCAGATCCCCTAGTATTGACTGTTGATGGGCATTTCGAACAAAGTCGCATGCTCTATGTAAGACCATTCCATGGCATTGTGGATGACATTTGCTTAAAAAATTTAAAGCAAATAGCATAGAAGTGAAACCAGTGACACAATGCGTACGGTTTTATCGCGACCATTCATGACAACCTGCTTAAACGATCTGACATACTAGTGAAGATTCGAATTGCAACTAAATAAATACATTTTGTTCTGAGTGTTATAATCTTAAATCTTTTCGAGTATTTGGATTCTGGTTGGTTGCTTTGTTGAGGAATCGTGTTTGTAGTTCGGCAACCGAATACACTATTCAATCAATGAATTCAGCCTAATCCCTAGCTATTGGCTAATCCGTACCCCGGACAATTTCTCCTGTCTCCATCAAGTACGAACGAGAGAGTCCCATTTGAAATTTTCCCGCTGTCTTTCCACCCAGCTGGTGACAATCAATAAGGTGTCCCCGAACATTGTTTGGTTCTTCTGGTTAAAAACAAATTGAAATGGACCAATACTGAAGAGATGAAGAATTCAAATCAAAACACATAGGGCTAACAATCTCGTTCTACGTTACCTATAACCACGCGGACATGTCAGATGACATATATTACTGACAGAGGTTAAAAATGTGTTGGTAAAGAAATCCATAGCTTAAATTACGACTAAAATTGATTTCATCATGATGTGATTTTTTTCATATCAATGATATATAGTGTGATGCATGGGATTGATTACGTATCACTGAAAACAAGCTTGTTTGTCCCTCTGTATTTTAATTCGAAATATCCTCTGTGATTTAATTCAAGTGAAAATTTGTTCATTCTTTTAGTTACTTCTATATCCACCAAAGTGAAGTGATCAATCAAAGAGCCACCTCGCTATAAAGTGAAATGAGGATAGTTAGGCAGTGGGGGGTGAGGTCGGAATACACCACCTCGAGGGCAATAGATTGACTACCCTATCTGCTAGGCCACCACTACCACCAAGTTGGTCAAAATGAATCAATCCGAGCGCTTTTGGGCATGAAAACAGAGAAATCCATGGAAACGGATCCGTAATTAGGTATTCATGGGGAAATAGGCTTCGTAGGATTTTGACCGTTGGATAGCTGGCGTGAACTGGTTGGAATATCGCATTACTCTTCGGTTGTGCACAAACAACTAAAGTCGAAAATGTTGACATTACAAATACACCGGATCGGAACGGGAACATTCCATTCGGTAATTTTCATTCACCTGCTCGATTAGCAAAGTATTTACAGTGGTGATTTTCGACTCAGTTTGATGGCTCAGGTAAACGCGTTTTTTTTCATCGGAAATTGGTTCGTTGGATTTCCCAGGTCACTAAGCTCATGTCTAGTTGAGGCAAATGTTATCATTCTCTCCTTGGTAGATCTGGCAGTCTAAGCTAGAGTTATAAACACCTGTCCGATTTCGGTGGCATTTTCTGATTCAATTATCATCAAAATTAAGCATACATGAATACGTCAGTTAACGGGCTAATTTTACAGTTGAAAAGAAAACAAAATCACTTCAACTGACCTGTAAATATTTTCATCTGTCTCACTCCAATCCCCTTCAGCTTCGAGCTCTGCGGCGTGCTTTGGAACAGTTGAAGAAGAAAAAACAGCAAGCTGCGGAGGTGAGTGCAAATTAAGTGTTGTGTAAAAGCAAACCGGACTAAACCACAATGAATGAATGAATCTTCCTTGGGGCCGGTAGGAATCCTTTATATATTTGCCTTTAAAAACCGCTCTCTGTTCATTTGGGTATAATGGGAACAGTCATGGTGGCAATGTGTTTGCGAGGGTTCCTTTCACACATCCGACTGTATAGGGTTGTTATACGGAGTTCTCTACCTCATCCCACCCCAAACCGCCCGAAGTCTATTGTTCACCAAATGATCTCCTCAGCTTTGTGGCATTTAACTTCAAAAGTTTATGACTGTAAGCCACTAGACAATTAGAAACTCTTGATTCTATATCATAGTGTGATTAAGTGCCGGGTGTTGGAGAGAGTAGTACCTTCGGGTTGTAACCATCTTTGTCATTGACCGACGACCTCTTGTTGTTGTTATTGTTGTTGTTGCTGCTGCTGCTGCTACTGCTTCGATGTGTTGTCCAGTCTGCAAGTTCGCCGCGCGCGTAAGATAGGTTGCTGATTAAAGCAATTTATGTGAATTTATTTTGTTTATGGACTTATTATTCATAAATCAGAGTCAATGTGTTATTTGTAGCTAAACAGCCAAAGGAGCATCGCAACTTTGTGCCATCCATCTTCTACAACCTTAGTGTCGATACACTCAGTTCATTCGAGTTTGAATATGGGCATGTGGCGTAGTCATTCTGACTCCCAATCTGTCCTGGTTGATCCTTGCCAGATTGCTGTACATTGACAGTTACCAACGGGTCACTCATTCGCCCACAGGAGGAAGGGAGGAATGCATACTGGATAAATAAATCAAACCTGCCCAACTGCTTTATTTGAAGCAACTTATGTTCAGTATGTATAGGTTTCTGGTTATAACCATACCGAGAAGTCTAGCATCGGAGGGGACAGCAACTGATTGGTGACTTTCGTCACGAAAAAGCGTTCGATCAAGTCATTTGTGCTGTGAGGGTAGATATGAATAGCCAGATTCCCTAACAATTGAAGAGGGATGAAATTCTTTTTTGATGAAACATATATACATTGCTTTCAGATGCAGATGGAAAATTACTAAAAAGGAGTATAGTTGTAAAAACACCGGTGATAACTATCAGACAACACCGGCTTCCAAAATGAAAGTGCATTTATCATAGAAAATACAATTCACGTTTATTCCAGTATTGCCGGTGAGTGTTTTTGTCGGATAGCTTTATGGGTTATGAGTGTTCATCGCTTCAACCCAATCTTCCATCGCCAGTCTCATTAGAGCTCGTCATAAATGTATACCTATTAGTACATCGGAGCTTTGCTCTTCAAACACCTCGAACGGAAACTGCGATTGTTACTACTGTGTCAAAAACCCCACATAGTCAATAACTCTCACAGTGAATTATTCTCAGAAAAAATGGAATACCATTTCGCATAAAAACATGTCTCAGCAGATTTCCACAAAGTTATCTGTGGTCATCGTGGTGCATTTTTCAACGTGAACATGTCCTTTGCAGGAGAACAGTGAAGAAAGTTCCGTGCTGATCGAAATGGATGCCAATATTGAACAGTACGAACAAGAAATAAGGTAAATTGTCCTTTTCTAGCTCGACATCTCATCTAAATTCTCGTTTTATTATTGACTTTTTGTCAGTAGTTTGATTGTAGATTCATAATACCACGGTTTGCGTTTGATTGCCTTTCTGGTCGTCGCAACGGTTCTGCATTGACTTTTTATTACTCTACCAGATACACGTAAGATTGAGCGAAGAATTATCCCATCCTCTGGCATTGCTTCAATGCTTCCCTTCTGCAACAATCACCGAATGGTAAACTAAGTGATCTCATATGGACATGAGAGATTTATCCCTTTCATTAAGAAGCAAGTCACATTGAATCGGCTAGATCAAGTGACACTTCTCTTCTTCTCATAGACCATTGCAGTCATTGCCTTACTGAACACAACGGAAGATATTAGGGAGTAAAGCTCATACGAGAATGAAAATTTATATTTCATTTATGAATAAAACCAGTAATATGCAAGACCAGTAGAACTCACTGTTTCTTAAAACGTGAGCTATTTCTTCGCTCTCCCTTCTATCGCAATTCACTCTCGCTCCTTCCTCTGAATTGCCTCTCAGTTTAATCCGTCGTTCCCGGAATCATGCCGAAGCAATCCAACGTGGTTTGTTAGCATCCGCGTTACGTGCATGGAAGCGTGTCAAACAAGCTCGCGAAAAGGCCGGTTTCACCAACACCACGGTCCGTTTGAATATTACACAGTAAGTTGACCACCATTCGATAAAACCATCAGATTCAACCAGATCATAGTCATTTCAATATTACCAATTACTGTGTTTAAAGCATCAAGTCCCATTTCGAAAAACTGATGATAGCAGACAAGGGCTTTGTACTAACAAAAGGGTCTGAATGACTCATCTGGTTTTCCTTTTGTCGGTGAGCAATCAAAATTTATAAGCTTGTTATATTTTCCTCAATGGATGAATTCCCCCATTGACTGCAGTTTAGCACTGTATTACAGAATCAATTAGTGCAGGGTCCCGACTCTTATTCCTTTAAGTACTAGGAGAAGAAACATGTTACTTGAAGTCGATCTTTTGTCTGATGCGTACGATTCGGCAAACCTTTATTTCGACGTGTCCACGTTAAACGTGAGGAATAGACAAGCGCGGACCTCAGTCAACTCGACCGAAAGATCGATGTTTGATTTCAATGGCAGCTAACTTTGCTTTTAGATTTTAGGAGGGTATTATACTGGTGTTTGTGAATACACGCTAGATAATGATAGAAAAGCGATCAGTTTTCACTCAGTGTGCACTCGCGGGTCCCTTTGCCTGTGAGTAAAACTGCGCTGGAAGGTACATAAACCCGACGGTTATTGACTTGAACTAACCCAGCAAGGAGACCCACAGAAGGATGAATCTATGTGTGTCAACTGATATATTTATTTATATAATCAGTTATTTTTATAAAAATTGATTTATTCAACTGACTACCACCGGTAGCTGACGAGTGAAGATCCTGCAAGGTGTTCAAGGTTACAAAGGGATGATTCGTCGTTTATATGCCAAATGAAGCGTGAACTGAAAAGCTAGGAAGCACTGGACAGCTGTTTTCACCTGGTAGGGTCTCATCAGCAGTGCGAATCCATCGACCCAACTAGCGATCGAAACCGGGATCTCATGAGTAGAACGGAAGCAAGCTACCCACTCGGCCACCGGGCAGATGATCAGACCGTTTTTCATTCTCCATTTACACGATATAGCACAACCCATCTTTGCGAGCTTGTTGCAGGCCACAGAACTCGCTCGTCTCAGCACTAGCCCCGGAAATATGACTCCGGTCGGAAAATTTCACAATCTGATTACTTATTTCATGTGAGTAATGGAGGAGTTGGTTCAAAATTAATCGGATCCCTGGCCAGGCCGATGGGGGAAAACTGGTACTCAGAAAGCGTAGGGTTTTATCAACGTGTACGCAAAAATGATCAGTTTGATCAAACAAATCCTCATGTTTTACTTTCCATTGCAGAGAACTCGTCGATCGGGTTAAGGAACAGAAGGAATGGGACAAGGAATTGGAAGATATTGTGGAAGAGGCCAGACGGATGCATGAACGCCAGTCCAAGTCATTGCGACAAACATACGCCCAAGAGTTGGTTACCTATCGGCAACTTAAAAAACATCAAGTATGCTGCAAACTGTTCTGTTATGCTGTTCTCACGTATTCCATAATTGCAGGTTGCCTATATCGGTCGAATTTTTTGCCCAGTATATGCGATTATTTTAGAGGAGGTACTATCTTAAATGCGCATGTTTAATTCATCAGCAGCATCAGCATGTACTTACAACCGTTCTGAGTGAAGGTTTGCAATAATTCGAAACAAATGCTCTCTTGTACGCTTCATAAAACTGTCGAATTTTTTGTAAAATTTCGCAATCACGGAAAACGTTCAAAGAAGCCTTCTCTGTTCTTACTTCCTCATGCAGGCTGCCGCGATGAGGCGACAAAGAATGAGGGAATCGGGAAAGGAGACGAATACAGATGTGAGTTCATCGAAGTTGCGCAAAGATGATTCCATTCCTAAACTGTTCAAAATTCACGAACCAACCGTTTGTCGTGCGACAAAAACATAAACCGGTTAGAACAATTTGCAAACACGGTTGATTTTTACACGTTTCTCTTGGAACAGGTGGGTAGATTTAGTTGAACACATCGTTTTCATCTTGTGGATCGTTTTGTAAGGGTGAAATTACGACAGAACACAAAGAACACATGGTGAGAAAAAAATTCTGTCTCCGGAGATCCATGTTTGGCATTTGTGCTGATCGAAAAATTATATCTTTCTTAGCAGTACCATTTCCCATGAACTGAAATAACCTAATCGTTTCTAACCTTTCTTGTTCCGTTTGACTTAAAATCATGTTTCGGAAGTAGCATCTAAGATTCTTACAAGTAAAACATTCAGAAGGAAGAAACATGTATTGATTTACTTGTTTCCCCAATACAAGTAAAAATGTGCGTAAATTTGATAGTGGTCGTATATTCTGGGAGCTCTGGTTCATTTGGATTCGCATATTGATACACTCATGTCAGCAAAAGATAATTACCGGTCGAATCAGTTCATTCCAACGAACGTACCGATCACCTAATCCGGTTTGATGTCAGGGTAAGGTTGATGAACTCGGGTAACGCGATTTGATAGAACACCGAGAAATAGGAGGTTGTGGGACGGTCGATGAAGTGATAGATTGGTAAATATCATGCAACGTAAAGTGGGGGAACTGGATGCGAGGTTACTACTATCATGGAAGAAACATGTTGGCATCTGTGAATACGCTTTTGAGGGACGGACGAGTATCGTTTGTAAGTATCGAAGAGTCTATGGATTTTGTAGCTTATTACGGTGCTAAAATTATTCAACTCTAAGGGTGGCGAAGGTGTTTAAGAGTAAAGCAACTGTGTGAGATAGAGTGGGAGAAGTCGATGTGTGTGTGTAATCCAGTGTCAATTTGTTATTATACTTGTACTCCTATATGTGAGTTTGGCAACAGCAACGACCGCGAAACCAATCGTAGGCTTCCGGGAAATTTTCCCAGATTGTCATACATATACTACTTATTATAAAAATATTCAAAATAAACCTTTGTGTTGAGTCTGCTTCGGCTAAACACATAAACGCTATGTTTCTTGGAAGCTTTATTATTTCGAATTGATTTTTCAACTTATAAATTAACTTTGAGTTGCCCAAGAAAAATATAAGCCAGAATTGGTCCCAGTGAACCTCCTACGACCACAGTTTTCACTTATTTATAAATACTTTCGGTATTGATAACTTAAACATAAGAAAATGAATTATTTTACGCGGGTTATCAGGTCGCTGACGCCTACCTTTCTAGTTTACGTACGTGCTTTATTTGCAAATGCTTTGACTGGAAGATTTGGAAACAGTGACGTATTAGCAAGGGCAATCAAAAAACAGTTACGACCATGTAAAACAGGCATAAATCATTCCAGTTCGGGCAAAACACTTTGCTAGTCGGGCTTGAGAGGTGATGACTATTGACAGAATGTCTGGTTTGTGAAATTATCGCACTCCATACATGATCATGATGCGTGAAACTCAAGATCCCAGTTTATTGAAACAGCTTGTATCAATCATATCCTACTTCCGAGTTAGGTCCAGTTTTCTTCTAACTTTCATTTTTTTCCCTGGCTTTCGGATCGAATCAAACAGAAGTTTGATCCTCTTGGATTGTCTCTATCTTTCGAAAATGATCCGTCTCCATCAAAATGACCATTTCGGATATTCTGCGCTAATTTATTTGGTTGTTGTTAAAGGTCAATCAACTGACCGAACGCTTCTGACCGTTGTTTCTTTGCATGGAATCGAATCGATGTGTGACATGAAATTTGCAGGACAACGAGACCGCATTGATTGAGACGGAAAAGGAAGATGCTCACATTTTGGCCGAGGCACGTCGGATCAAAGCCCCCGTGCCACCTGCAAAATTCAACGCCGCGATTGTCCGGGATCAGGCTGAGACACAAATGATGAAATCACGTCGATTGCCAGGCGAACCGAAAATTACGGTCGCCTTGAGTGAACAAACTCCCCTGACCCCTGATGAACTTTGTCCTGAGTAAGTGATCCTATCACGAAATGTACTGGTTCCATCCGTGATGCACGAATATTTCCCCGTACCATTTGCTGTCAGTGGCTTGAAACTGTAATCATTCCGAAATGGGTAAGATTTCTTGTTCTTTGTTCATTGAGTTTGCAGTAGGGTGATCTATTCAGATGCAATGTGATTATGTCACCGGGTAATCAGAGATTACCTTGAAGGTTACTTGGAAAGCTGACATAAATAAAGTCTCATTCGAAACAGATACTAATTCGGAACTGCGAAAATGCAGAGAGCACGCTTGTTCTGCTTTCCGCCGACAGGAGTTGTTGTTATCCGGGATAATAATCTACCACATTCACTTCTGAACACGGAGGCATCGGCTTAAGTATTGTGCTCCTGATTCAACTGCAGTTTTCCGTTTTTCTTCTTCATTTCTCCATACAGCCTTTGTATGGTCGCAGCTTCCTTCCTGAAAGTTTATTGTACGTTTCAATAATTACTGAATAAAAAAGTAAATTAAAACATAGAAACACTGGATCACTTAAAAAGCACGGGAGAAAAGCTGGCGGAAATCGTGCACCCATTGTGCTCTTGCTGGTTAACCTATGCATGGACTATTGTTAACCCTTACATATTGTATAAACAGCAGTCTGCAAATTACATGAGATTTGTTCATTATCCATTACATCGTGGGGGAAAATTGATTTAACTACACCGAAAATAAGTATATCTGTAAATTTCACTAATAAAGACAAATAAGGTGTAAACATTATTTTGGTTCCCAAGGTAAATCTTGCAGCCATTAGGATTTGGCATAGAGTGGGAAGAATATGTGGTGCCAAAAGCTGCGGACCACTGCCATATGAGTTGGCTTAGCCAAAATACAAAGACTTTGCCAATTCTTTCAGGTAAGATCGAACAATATGGTTTTTATCGCCCCTCATATCCATAGTGGATGTGTACAGTGATGAACCATATCAAGTGTGAATTTCATCATTTAGAGATTCCTCTGATTGAATAGAAAGAAGCAAATTAAGTATTGAGACTCGAGAGGGAAGTGCAGTAGATGAAATCTCAGTGAAGTGAACGAAAACTTATCCCACCAACACGGCATAAGTATTTTCCAAATTCGATCTTTAACGGTTAACATCAGTGTAGGTCAGTGACAACACATAAACTCGTTCGATCCATCACCCAACCATGCAGATTATGACGCCTCGAAATCGATCTCTATCACATAGAGAGAGAGAGACATGCCACCTTGTTACATCATCCATGTTTCGTGTAGATAAATGAAAATCAACTTCCTATGTTGAACTCAGTCTCATGCAGTGATTCGGGGTAAACCCCATAGTCACGAGGACCTGCTGTTCAGTGGTGGAAACCGCAACCGCAACTCGCAACTTTAAATGGCGAACCACATAAGGCCCCGCTAGGTTTGGAGTGGCACTGAACCGGACGACAATAGAGCTGCCTACCACCAAAATCGGTGGTGTTGGCGGGGCCCGGACCTCAGACCACAGGGTCCACAGCACGCCGGTGACAGTGACTAAACTACTGTGCTACCATTACATTATTTGTTGCACATTTGTTCACTTCATATATATAACTGCATTAGCCAGAGAAAGAAAGTATCGAAAACGAGCATGTTCGCTGCTCGTGTTGTTCTGTCGAAGCTTGATGTGTCTAATTTGCACCGGTGGGCTCAGATCAAAACACACTTATCCCACTCTGCATTTCGTTCCGATTAGAAAATCACTCAGGAAGCATTTTCACGAGGCCCTTTCGGGTCTTTTGGGTACCTACTTGGATGAAACAACAGAGGGATGATTGAAATGTTGGAAGTATTATCAAGGTAAACAGGGGGAAATCCTGGTAGACTAAAGTTTGAAAGCTATTACGTTGATGCAAAAGCACCACGGTTTATGACACTCAGCGTCATCATCATCATCTCTTTAGCGTGTTTATCCATCGTTTACACTGGATTGCCAAACAATCTCATAAAGGTAACGCATCTCAGACTATTCCCGCTAAAGTTGTCATCTTCTGAATGATACGAGCCAAAAGTTAAACGAAGTTCTGAGCCATTGAACTCAACTTCCACCTATTGCCTCTAATATTAAAATGGATCTGGACATGATTGAAAATACCTCTGTATCTCACACACTGTAAGTCAAAATTCATATGAAGTTACGGTAGTGTATATATAGACAGAACTAGGCGATAATTGTCATCACGTGTGGTCGAACACATTGCAAAGCAGTTGATGAAGTCGATGAACCAAACCACGCTCGATAGTCAGGCGATTGCANNNNGAAACTCGGGTTCATCCATTGCAGAACTGTTAGTGCCAGGGCAGCTCAAATACCACTGCGAGTAGCAAGTAAAACACGAACTAGGCAACAGATTCTTTTAACAAACGTCCGTAATGAAGTTCAAGAGAATGATTAATCTCGTAATAGGTTATCTAAGTCCGTATCAGATTCTGTTTTGGAGTACGGAAACCCGCAAGCTCCGTTTGTGGAATGCACAACAAGGGGACGAGGTCAGATTATACTGCGAACACTATAATCGACCTGAACGAATCATGCTGTCAGTTCCTACCGCCACTCAACTTTTTCCTCCTGTCTGAGTCCTCAGTTTGAGGCTAAATGGATTCAATTCACCCCTTTTGAAATGGCGTAAAATGATTACTATGAATAATATTATTNCATAAGAATACCGCAATGCGTACGTTACACATCATGCATGCGAGTACGGTCGTATTTGGTGTAATTCCAATTTCAGATTAAATCGCTATCACCCCGCCCCACCCCCCGGGTTTTAATCTACCAAGGAGCCTTGAATTATTGCTGGTCAGGTAAACCTACCAACATGTAGCAACATGCAGTACTCCACTGAACTCCACTGAACCATAGGGAATGGCAAGTGTGAGTAGACTGGCATCTTAGTTTGTGAAATACCAATCGAAAATGAGCTAAAACGACTGCTAGACGTTCTGAACCAAAATCGGCGGACTACACTTTACTGTGGCAAACTAATTTGTAGAAATTTCTCCTCGATATGCTCACATCAGGTGGTTATAGATATAAGATATCTGATTGGCCGAATACGACTTCGTTTATAATGATGACACGGGTGAGCAACCAGAGCAAGCGAACGTGCTAAGGCAAGAGGTAGTCAATGCTAGAACCGCGAAGGGGGAGAGAGGACTAAGGTCAGATGAAATAATACTGGAGAGGCGGACATTGAGGTAGGTCCAAAGTTGGTCAACAGTAAATCACAAGACCCACTTCATCCACAATCGCCTTGACAATTTCGGGGCATTTGTGAATTGCGAAAATGTGCTGGATTATCCTCCCAAATGATTTCACCAATCGACTCTAATGTCCGATTTTATTGACCTTGGCACTAAGCGCAAATGGTAGGTACCGGTCACTGCATATTCCGCACACAATTTTTGTAAAATAATCACGGTATGATTAGCCCATGTAATGTTTGTAAAAATAAAAATCTAATGCAAATAAATCATCTATAATAGGCGAGAACAAATTTGAATACTACTCAAAAAATTGGTTTAAAAACGCTCAATTTTTATTCTCACCCTTCTCTTCGCTAGCGAGCATGTTGTTAAAAAATTTGGATGCATTCGAAATAATTCACGCTATACCTGGGAAATATGCCATCGGAATAAGTAGGCGCTTCTGAACCACTGCTGAGCCATTCTAATTCGCATTTACAGGCCTGAACTATGTAAGTAAAAGAAACTTTCCATTTCGACTTGAAAAGAGGACTGCCGTGCAGAGTATCGATCCTCTTCCCAATACACCTTCCCCCTTGCACAGTATCACCTACTGAAAGCATAATAATCAATTATTTTTTGCCTCCACTGTCCCTTCCCGATTAAAGCCCATGCTATGCATGACATGTTTCTAATCTAACTTACGTAACGTCATTCCGCTCTCTCACCTCGACTCACAACTTTCAACAACATTTTAATCAACCTATCTCTCTACCTTTGTCATCTCACACCATCCGCAATTCCAGCATTGACTACCGCTAGTCTTAGCGATTTATCTTTCTCCGCTTCCTCTTCGCTGTATCTTTATAAACTGAGGTGTAATCGGCCATTTTTGGAAATCTCTACTATGATTACTTTAAATATACCGAAACAAAAGTACTGCACCCCTGGATTTTTAGATTATCTCCACTCCCACATGCTCGAGCACCACCGCTTTTGAGAATCTATAGACAGCAACCAAATGAAAAGCCCACAGGTGGAATTTCATCAAATTACTTTCAATTCTCAAACGTTAATTCGACGTCTATATGGCGAATGAAGGGTGAACTGAAAAGCTAGGAAGCACTGGACAGCTGTTTTCACCTGGTAGGGTCTCATCAGCAGTGCGAATCCATCGACCCAGCTAGCGATCGAAACCGGGGTCTCATGAGTAGAACGGAAGCATGCTACCCACTCGGCCACCGGGCAGATGATCAGACCGTTTTTCATTCTCCATTTACACGATATAGCACAACCCATCTTTGCGATCCCCAGTTAGGTCGATAGATTCGCACTGCTGATGAGACCCAATCAGGTCGAAACAGCTGTTCAGTGATTCCTAGCTTTTCAGTGTACGCCTCATTTGCTATATACACGACGAATTCACCTTTGAAATTGAACCAGATCCTCCCTTACTCACTTTTAATTTTACATGTCAATACCCGAATTTTCACCGTGACAGAAGTTATTCCAATGACAATAACAATAACAGAGACAAAGGTATCGCATCTCATATGGACTCAACCCATCGAAGTCACTTTATTACTTAGTTTAAGCTTTCGAATCATGTCCGTGTCGATATTATTCCACTCCGTTAGCCACAATGTTCGGATATCATATTTTTTCGATGTAAATTTTGAAGTGTTAGTATACCTTTTGGATAAGAATAACAGAGACATTTTCTATAGAGTCCAAATCTTGGCTGCACGCAGACCGCGAAATAATAACTAAATTTTTTCGATACAAGTAATGAACTACGGTGACATCTTGATAAAAAACCGCTGCCTGGTGACCACTTGCATAATCCCATCGGAATCTTGCCCCTTCCCCCCCCCCCCACACACACACACAGACATAGTAGGGCGTGTTCGGTTGGGCCGTCTCTCGAGAAGACACCCCCATATTATCACTGATTTTCTGTTGTCAGTCAGATTACTGAAGTACCGCTCTTCTTTGCACGGATTATGCCGTTAGTATTTACATATTTCCAATCCACTGAGATTGGCCTTCTTTTCTTCGCTAATTCCATTCGTATTTCCAAGTTACAACAAGTTTCAGTTCTCAGTAAAAGTCTTCTTGAGTGAAATGTTGCTGGCACTATGCACCTTTTTTTTGCATATAATTCCCAGATGGGGACCGTTTCAAATGTTTATTGTACCTTTCACATCGAAACGTTCAACTCAAGCGCAGTTTTCATCTCCGACCGAATGAATCACGGAGTTCAAGGTCATACTTGACAATCTGTCCTTATCTTTCCACGAGAGCTTTGTTGGACTTCCAATCTGTTCACGACTGATTTTTAGCTGTTTCCTGTCCAAATGTCGTGCCACAGTGTGATCGGGATCTATTATACCGCCCACAATGATCACACTCAAAGCATAATTTGCGGATTTCTTGGCATTATTCAGGCTCTTCCTTCGTGCAATGACTTTTAGTGACCTACTTGGATCTCTTTGTTCTTTTACGGTCACTGGGAGTGATATGAGCATGATCGCAGCTTACACCAATCTGTTGACCACTGACTTACCACAGCTGCCAGTCGCCTTGCTGAAGTACAAACTCTGGATGTCTATTGCACTCGTTTTAAAACCCAGTTGGGTGTTTGCAGTCGCGGTGAAAATTCG